AACAACGTTATAACTTCTCATAACTATAACCTAACAAAGTCTAACATCACGCAAAATTGAGTGCATTTTATAAATTAAGCACTGCAAATCACACTTCTGCCCTGAAGTGTGGGAACAAATGTAAGATTCTCTCAATTTCTTTTTTGGTTCTCTGCATGCTATCCAGCTATGCGATATGAAGGCCGGCCTTATGAACATAAAGTTTGGGCTCGCTGTATACGACATCGATGCTGACGCTGACATGAACCCATGCTCCGAGGGGAACTACACTGGCCGGTACAACAGGCTGGTGCTACTCCGCAAGCTCATCGACTTCATGAAAAGCTTCACCAGCGTAGTGTATTGCAGGGGCATCGAGTAGATGACGCTAGACGGGGATTGCGTGGTGCCGCCAACGCCCACCCAAGAAGCGACATCGTCACGAGGAAAAGCTTTCATCGGAGACTGATAAATTTACAAACTAATCAGTGAATATATGCGCCACTTGGACACAGCATTGTTGTGATATTCTTAATTTGTGAATACTTTTCTCCCGAATGATATATTTTTGATTCATTTGACTAATATGTGCGCTCGAGTTCGTTCTTCGAAACGTAGACATACCTTAACGACAGACCCATAGCACCTCCTCTTTATTTTTTATGCTTCTATATTCGCTTTCTTTTTTCATATCTTTCCCCTCCTCTTAGGACAGGGTAGCGAGTTTGATGCTAAAATTCTGGTTGACCTTCCTGCCTTTTCTCATTTTATTTTTTCAATATTATATCGCTATAGTATTTCAGTATAATGTCCCGATTTGTCCAAGAGGAGCTGAGAAAGCGTGTTTTCTGCGAGGTTGTATGGTACGCTATGTTTCGCATCGTTTGCTTGTGTTTTGTGGGTCTTTTAGTATGCGTATGTTGAGCCTGTGTCTATTAAAGCCACCGCTGAATAAATGTAGCGATGCACGTGGTTTCCCCAGTAGATGGAAATGATGAAATAAGCGATGACATACATTATATGGGTGTAATGTCATTCACGGCAACTATGAAAACGTAGTAAGGCGAATTTTGGTGCTTCCACAAGGGTACAGTAAATGACATTCACAGCTTAGTGCAGTCGGCTTTTGTGTTTTCCAAGCTCATGCAAACGCGACACAGGTAATCTCTAAGAGCTTGGGAAGTTAGTCCAGACAGGATTCGCAAGTCAAAGCTAAATCTAATCGATGTTCAGGCTCTAATTCACCCCTGTAGTAAGGTTTTTAACTTTTACAGTGTAGATGATAATATTCTGAATATGTTGCTAATAATCAATACAAAAGTGTTGTAATCATGAACCGATACACACTCTCTTTGTCCCCTGCTTCCTCTTATACTTCGCTCCCTGCACACATGTACCAATTTTTTCTGCTTAGCATTAAAGCCTGATGAGTGACAGGAAGTGAACAAGCTAGACATAACAAGAAAAAGAAAAGGCAATGTTTTCAGTGAAATTTTGCTTAACTAGGTGCTATTCGAAGTCATGTATCAGTGACCAGCAGAGTAAAATCGCAACAACTTTGGTTTTGAGGCATGCCAGCAGGGAAGGGGATAGCATAGCCTTGTATAGAAAAGGGGTAAGAAAGAAATTTTCGCTGGTGAGGAGAGAAAGGCCGAGAAGAGATAGCAAGTTATGTCGCAGAAAGAGTAGAAAAGAACCTCAGGCCAGGCGAAAAGAAGGAAGTCATGCTGAAAGAGAGAAAAAACGTGGTTGATCCCTTTTCTTAAGAATTCGTATAAGACGAAAGTTAAACTGGTCCTCGCAGAGGTGGTTTAGCGTTCATTGCGCATTGATTGGCCACAAGGACGAGGAAATGAATGCTGCAGAATGGCAATCAGCACGAAACTCGCAGAGCACACCTCAAGCAGAAAGCACGCACGAAATAAGCATGCACAAGAAGAGCATGGACAAACAACTGTCACCCTTTTACTTCGTGTGCAAGCAGCGCGGTCCTTCCGTAAATGCAGCTGCGGCAGCGAGCGATTTGACGTTCGTGCTAGCTTTACAGCACCGTAACTTCAAGGCAAACTAGCGGTGAAAGAAAAAGATTTACCCGGTTTTTCTCCCTGTATCCACTGCCGTTACAATATAGATAGATAGATAGATAGATAGATAGATAGATAGATAGATAGATAGATAGATAGATAGATAGATAGATAGATAGATAGATAGATAGATAGATAGATAGATAGATAGATAGTAGATAGATAGATAGATAGATAGATAGATAGATTAGATAGATAGATAGATAGATAGATAGATAGATAGATAGATAGATAGCTAGATAGATAGATAGATAGATAGATAGATAGATAGATAGATAGATAGATAGATAGATAGATAGATAGATAGATAGATAGATAGATAGATAGATAGATAGATAGACAGAGAGACAGACAGACAGATAGAGAGACAGACAGACAGAGAGACAGACAGAGAGACAGACAGACAGAGAGACAGACAGACACAGACACAGACACAGATAGATAGACACAGATAGATAGACACAGATAGATAAACACAGATAGATAGACACAGACACAGATAGATAGACACAGATAGACACAGACACAGATAGATAGACACAGACACAGATAGATAGACACAGATAGACACAGACACAGATAGATAGACACAGATAGATAGACACAGATAGACAGACACAGACACAGATAGACACAGACACAGACAGACAGACACAGATAGATAGATAGATAGATAGATAGATAGACAGACACAGATAGATAGATAGATAGATAGATAGATAGATAGATAGATAGATAGATAGATAGATAGATAGATAGATAGATAGATAGATAGATAGATAGATAGATAGATAGATAGATAGATAGATAGATAGATAGATAGATAGATAGATAGATAGATAGATAGATAGATAGATAGATAGATAGATAGATAGATAGACAGACAGACACAGATAGATAGATAGATAGATAGATAGATAGATAGATAGATAGATAGATAGATAGATAGATAGATAGATAGATAGATAGATAGATAGATAGATAGATAGATAGATAGATAGATAGATAGATAGATAGATAGATAGATAGATAGATAGATAGATAGATAGATAGATAGATACGCTCAAAGTCGCCGAAGTTCGCTAAGAAATGCTTCGCATTTAAAACATCAACGTGTTCTTATGATGCCTTAGATATGCGCAATAATTGCCTATTAATTGACAATCGCACAACTACGAACGCTGAAATTTGAGCAATATTGATGGGTGCTGCGGATGGGGTTGGCCGTTTGAGGTTGCGTTTGTTGCCGTTTGGGGTATTGTTACCGCGGACAAACAGACAGGCATACAGAAAGAGCAAAATTTTGGCGTTTAAAGTCCCCAAGAAAGACTATCGTCTTTAATAATAAATAAGGAAACGTTGTGTAGAAGCGAAGCAGTGGACGCTAACGCTTACACTGGCGGTGACGTTGCCGCTGGCACTCATCGCGGTGTTCCGCAGGAGACAAATCTGTGGAGGCGCAAAGCACGGAGTGATCGACCGCTGACCTGCTGAAACATGCCCTTTGCTGCTAATGTGCAGTGAGACGCAGAAGACTCCGCTTGGACACAGAGAGCCGCAGTCCACTTTTAGTTAACGCGCGCGCTGCGATTTTTTATTGCTCGGCAACACACCGGAGAAAACGTGCACCGGCACTACCTTAGAGGTTAAGATCCAGTGCCTATATAAGCGGGATGGCGGCCCGTGAACAGTTGTGCAGCATGAACAGTCGTTTTTTTTTCAATCAGGAAACTCGCTACAGACGCTGTAAAATACCTTGTTGTGGGGCAACTTGGTACAAATCAATTACACGAGCTCTCTAACGCTGTCACGTTGAAATATTTCAAAACTTCGAGCCTAGACACACGACACAACCACACACTCACACACACACCCTGGCATCGAACACGCACAGCGCTCCCTTCCAACTGATTTATTCATAGCTTGAAGTTTGAATATACACATGGTGCACTTGCGCGCAGTAACACCATTGAAGGCCAACAAAATACGTTACCAAGACGTACAGCTTAAGAGCCGAAAAACTGGAATTCACTTTGCATCTCCTTGCACTGGCGTTGCGAGGCGAGAGTGATGGGGACATGCATCAACACCACCTAGAGGAAGTCAGTCTCGGTGGCGTTGCATGCTTGCGCAATGGCGGAAGAATGCCTATAGGCGAGGGGGAAGCAAGCGAGGGTTAGCAGATGCTGTCGGCGTTGCCAGGCAAGAGGTAGGGGCTAGCATCGGAAAGAAGTTGCGCATGCGTAGTTTGAGTGTGAGCGTCGACGCCATCGCCGTGGAACATAGACCGGAGCACAAGATGCTTCGCATCTAAAAGCAAAAAAAAAAAGACTACTAATACACGTGACGGCCTCGCACACTCGTAGTTTTCAATTTTCGTAGCAGTAAACTTACGTTGTAACCAGACGTTGCAGTTTGCGTTGCAGCGAAGCAGTGCAATGTGTGAGATGTCATTGCGAAATATACAGTGAGCACCAAACGTGGCTCAATCGTTACATTCGTTGTCGAAAGCATGTGCGGTTGGTTTATCACTTCGAACATCTCGTACCGAGTAGGGCGACGCATTTTCTGACGTAAACCTCCCCACAAGTGATGAACGCTGCAAAACTTACAACCGCCTGGACGTATTGTAATCTTGCCGGACGTCATACGGGCAGGAAGACATATTTCGTCGGGAACGGACACGGCAGCTCGTTTTGAAAGTCAGCTTCCGGCTACGCCAACTAGATGCAAAATCATCTGACAAGAAGCGTTATGCCGCCACATGCAAGACAAGGATCATAACGAATGTATTGTCGGACTGTACGTTTTTTTCCTATGAAGCAACCGTAACACCTGCGAGAGAGCACCTGCAATCTGTTGGCTTCAGGCTTGACGAAATAGCATTGTTTCTGCATAAGTACGAGCTGAACCACAAAAGGAACGCCAGTGATTTCTCGCTGTGCGTATTGTTACAGGTGTCGTCCCCGCAAAACCTCTCAAAGTATGAAAGCCTTGGGAATACTCGCGGTTGTCTCTGTTGTGACTACATCGTGCTGGGCTCCTACCAGCGCTGGTAAGGTTTGCAGTGAAGCTTTCGACTGACAAGAGTGGCAGCTTGGGCTAAATGGTAGGACATAGCTATAGTTATAGCGCGAGAGCAGAACGACGACAAATAGTCAAGCAGGGCCTTCGTGCCCTTCATGTCCTTCTTGTCTTTTTGTCGTCGTTCTGTTATCGCGCTATAACTATCGTCATTTCAACTGAGATGTCTTCTAGAGTGGGTTATTTGGCTTTTCACTTCATTATCTTAAGAAACGTCAGATGAAACAACATGTCATGGGAGAAGAAACAAGGTGCCGTAAAACGCGTCAACAAGACATTATTTCGACTAATTTCACACTGGCTGTTGATTACGCCATTATACTTTGTCATTAGAGTAGGCGCCTTTGTAGTAACCAGATAAGTTGCAAGTGTTATGTCAAGTAGGCAGAGTTTACTCACAGCTCCATAGATATTAACACATGAGGCAATTTTCGAGTACTTTTTTACGAATCCAAACCATTTAATGAAGATGCAGCGTTTAACCAAGTGGCTATTGTGATGCTACCGCATTTTAGGTGTGTAACTTGTTGGAGGCCCGGTCTATCGTATGCTGTCGTAACTGCTGCTGCTTGGTGTAACGCAGGCAGAATGCGCGTTAAGAAAGAGGATGCAAGCGAGAAATGTTGAGAAAGGCAACACGAGGGAGAAAACTGCCCCCACCTCTCCAAAGGGAATCGTGAGGAAATGCGAAAGCATTGTGTAGCGTCCATAACGGCATTTCGCACGTGAGAACCCAGCGTTAAAAGAATAGCGTTTTCTTTTTTTTTTCTTACACCGTGCAGCAAATAGCGCCGTTTGTCGCACGTGACGTTTTCCTGTCGCGTGAAACGTGGTATGCTTTTCCAGCTCTAATAGCTAGCGTGCAGGGATAAAATAAGCGCGTGTGCACACAGCTGTTGCTGACAGCTGCCGACGCCGAAGCGAGACATTTTGGGGGCTCCGGTTGCTAGGGACGAGGGCGCCCGCAGGTGTTGCTATAGGAGAGGGCGGTAGACAGATCCCGACGGACGCCTGACATAGCCCGACTAAGTAATGCGTTCGCATTTAATAGACAGAGGAGGAAAGATAACGAAATACATAGAGCAAACTGAATGCAAATAATTAAAGACAACGAAAGAAAAACGAAACCAGGAAGGAAAGAAAAAGAAAACCAAAATAAACACATAAGGCTATATTATACCGAGCTCCGCACTCTGAAGTGACGCGAAGCTTCCATAATTTTTTTTCTTTCCGTTGAAAGTGTAACATCTCGTGGCATGTATGACGATGCTCTTCTGAACCATACCTAAACTTCGGTAAAACAAAGAGAGTACCCTGATTATGGTTGTGATAACTTGTATTGGAAATATTGTCGTAACGCTGAAGCATTATCTTTCCCAGACACTTTGTTTAACCACCGAAGCATATTCTGTTAGCGTTTCTAGGTAATTGTGAAGTGAAGAAGCTGTATTCAACAGAACTGCAGCCTGAGATATCCGCTGCCCCGTACATCAGTTGAAGTTGCATGCGTAAAACGCATAAAAGTGGGAGATGTTCGGAGATCGTGCGGTTCACGTGGGCGCCAAAGAAAGGAAAATTGTTTTGGTGGCACTTGGTAAAAAAACGGTGACACTCACGTTGCTCATTTTGCACTCACCGTCGTTTACATTTTTAACAAAGCAAAAAAACAGCATTTCTAAGATCACGATCGAATACTACTTCTATGCCTGCGGTAAGACGACTGCATTATCCAACGAGCACCAGTGCCCTAGTCTCACACAGACCGGCTCAGTTTTTTTTTTTTTTGTGGCCAGTTTAACTACGTCGCAGTCTTTAGGGGTGAAGCTTCATATGGTGAGGCGATGTCCACCGTTTTTCCTCGATGACTATGACGCTGATGATGATGAAGAATAAGCACGTTCCAGACCACACATCTTTCGGCCGTCGTGGCACAGTATACAAGTAAGGTACCCACGATACGCCTTGACGATGACGCTGATGACGACGATGATCATAGACAGCGGCTGTTTTGTGCAGTAGAGGACGTCCCAATTCGCTCTACGATGAATTTCGAATAACTGGAAACAACGAACTACCACCAGGGAACGAACCCAGGCCTCGTATTTGCCAACTTCAGGCTTGATTTAATACCGCAAAGCAGCCATTATGAAATTAAAACGAAATTCGAAACTAAACCCAATGTGCCACTTATGGCCGAGGAACATTTTATGTAACTTTACATCGCTTTGTCACTCAGTGACATACGTGATTGGTCAATGCCATGGGTGATTTACTGTAACACCGAACAATCCTCCTGCTCGGCCCACTCATCATCCTTCACTTCGTGGATGTGCCGCCATTCTTTTTGCCATTGTGGGCTTCACATCCCCTTCTTTGGTACCGTTTGCCTCATTGTGCCATGCCAGTGATGGTCTTTCTTACGCAGCACATGGCTTGTCCAGCTACACTTTTTCGTACTTCCAGGAACTGGCGCTAGCAATGACCAGCTAATACTATTTGTCATCTACCAGGCTCTAAAGCTTTACGTATACTCTGTGAGTTTTCAGAGATGTATGCCTGGCATGACCTGATATATAGTGTTATTGCGGACGTTTTGGTACATGCAGATTTTCAGAAAAAATACGTTAAGGTGGGACACATAAAAAAAGCAAGCTATGGAAAGAAAAACTACAAGTGTAACTATAGGAAAAAGCAAGAAAGCAAATTGGTTAAGGAAATAAACGAGAGTAAAGGGCATCATGTTGAAACCAAGAATAAATGAACATGGTAGTGGACATCGAATCAATGGCTGTGTGTAGGCAGAATGACCGCTCGTGGTTAAGCTCAACTTCTTGAATTCCGAGAGCATGAAAATGCACAAGGAGTAGACAGAAATTTAGGTGGGCCGTTGAGATTGAGAATCTTGCAGGTATAAGCATAGCGTGGCAGAAGCAAGTACCAGTCCCGGTTGATTGGCAGAACATAGGAGAGGCCTTTGCCCTGCAGCGGGCATAGTCAGGCGGATGATGATGAGAGAAGAGACAAGACACCACCTGTTCTTCTTGCTTGTTTCTATGTCCCGTCTTAGAGCCCTTTTTCCGAGGACCGGAATCTCTGAAATACGAAGAGGCTACCACAAGTGAACAAAATATAACTTGTTAACAGCACTGTTGTATAGGCGTTAAACAAACCATGTCTGAAATATCTGACGTAATGCATCAGAAATTTTGTTTGAAATTTCAAAATAATCCTGCATTCAGCTAAGCATCTTTTATATGTCAGCCTTTTATATATGCTGTGTCTTCCCGAAAAGTTAGTTTAAGTGCCCATTCAAGTGTAGGTGTTACGACATCTAAGCTTAGATGACTCAAGAGCATTGACACCATATTTACAAAAGCTAATTATAAGTTAACACAATTATCTGTCGACCCACTCAGACTCTGATCAAACCATGAGTCTGGGGGAGTCTGGCTAAGTAAAATATGGCTATAGAATGGAATGTTGGGTGAGTTGGTTTGAAGACATTCTTGGTAACATTTCGGCGCGCACACAGGGAACGGGAAAACGGACGGCGAGGAGACAAACAAGCGCAACTCCACTGTGTGCCCACCGAAATGTTACCCAGAAATTATGGTTAGTTTGAGTGAGTGAGTGAGTCTGGCTGAGGTAAATATTGGAGAGTGCGAGCCCGAGAAAGTCTGAGTCGTAGTAAGCCACTCTATACACAAAATGTGTTCGAGCCCACCAGAACGCATCCCACCAGAACACGCCCCATTAGTGTGATGTTCCCGCATCTCTCCTCAATACACCACATCTGGTTGGTGGCCCCACTAGAACACACCACACCAGTGTGGTGTTCCCACCAAAACACAGCCAAAAGGCTCGACCAAAACACATCAGCGTGGTCTGGTGGTAATACCAAAACACACCAGAACACACTTAACTCTTTGTTGGGTTTTTCAACTGGTATGATTCTTTGTGTTACGGTTTGTCGACAATTCTAGGAAAGTACATTATTATCCGTTGATGACATAGATTCGATAGTTTGTGAAACTAGACATTTTTTTTATTTATTTCAAGGCACAACACACACGTTTTTAACTCCGCGTCCACCAGATTAGGTTTACGCATGAGCAGCAGAGTGGAGGAGAGGTGTTAACAAACTTTATGTCATTCCCAATAAGTAAGCAGAGGCTATATTATAATGGTAGCTTAGTGATGCCAATAAACTCAAGTTACAATTAAGAATGATGAAAATTTTAAACTTTTACATTTGCGATTGGGTTCCACTCGCTGCGGATGGTCAACCTGCTAATGTTTGCTTCCAGTGCCTTGCCTCTTTCGTGTCCATGTTTTTTTCCTTCCGTAGTTTCGCCGTAACTACTCATTTTGTTGCACTGTGCAAATAGGCTGATTCAAAATCACCAACTAGCTCAATAATCAGTCTTCACAAGTACCATGCCCTTATTCTTAGCGCTCCGTGAACTCTACAATGCAGGCAATTCATAAACCTCTAGCTATGTTTTTTTTCTTTGATTTACGCTGCACCGCAAAGAATTGATACACCTTCTGAAAAATATATTTTAGCTGTTTCAGGTTCCATGGATGGTGAGGGTGACAAGAACAGCATGCTGTAACTTCGTCACTAGATTGCACTATTTAATGACTATTATGACTCACTGACAAGCGAATGAGAACGCGATGCAATGGGGGTCAATTAGGCTATTGCTTTCTATTCTTCAAGGCCAAACTCAATCCTCTTCGAAGGTATGCAGGTGTAATGTCTTCAACCATAACTTTAGTGTCTTTCAGTACTACCGCTAGAAAATCCAATTTGTAACAAAAAGGATTTCCGATTTTTTAACAGCGCTCTGTGGTACTTTAGCTTGGGGTCGGGTTTCATGACGATATATTACGACGAGCTGTTTTCATACGGTATTATTCGTGCTGCTTCACTACGTGTTCATGATTTTTTCAGTGACAATGTTTCCCACGAATGCAACTGTAGCGTCAACAGAGAATTCAACATCGCTGTCAAATGTGGATTCAACGACAACTGTGGCTAGTACGACAAGCATGCCGTCGACGACATTCGCTCCAGAAGGTGAGGCGACTACATCTACGACAAGCTCTATTTATGAGTCCAGTAGTACGAGTACGAAAAGTGAATCGAGTAGTCAAAGTGGTGAGTAACGCGCACTGCTTGCCCGTTGTGTTCACGATTGCTTAGAAACAATTTAGATGTCCTATCCCCAGTTGTGCGGAAGCACTGCTATGATGTTAGCTGGGCTAACATCCTCTGATGCCAACTGCGTGGAGACTGTAGAGCTTTGGTAAACATTGATGTTCTTTTGCGTAAACTTGTGGAGTTTGAATGCACACGTTGTCTGCTAGGGGTTGACACTCTTCCACCTCCACTGCGCACGAACGCAGAGAGCGCATAGGGTTGACACATCTTACACTTACGCGATAAGCCATGTGACAGATAATGACTGTGAAAGCGTAGGCGGAAGCGAGCGCCGCACGAGATAAGAGTAGCGGAACAAAGAGAGGAGGGTGCGATATGACCTTCGTTGAGGAAACAGGGCGTACGGGGACGCCACGCTCCTGATGCGCGCAAGACCTCAGCACAGCAAAGACTTCGAGCCGGCCGAAGCGCTCGATGCGAGTGCCACCTTGAGGATGGAGGGAGTAGCAAAAACATTGCGCGGGCGCAGCGAGGGACGGCATCACTTTCCCTACATCCAACTGAAACCAGGGGTGTTCTACTACCGTGTGTTGTTCTACATGTGTCTGCACTGGAAATCGCGTCTGTCTAGAGTTATTCGCTGCAAAGCTACAGGCAATACAATCTAAAATTAACCATCTACTCTTGTTCAGAGACAGAAGCCCCGCCATATTCTGCCTGCGAACGTTTCTAACACTACAAGTCACGCTTTTCTGCGTCTTCCTATTACACGCGTTCCTACAAACACTGGTGTGCAGCCACACGAAGCACAATGAAGTGGCATTTGTAAACAAGCACTATTCTTAATTCATATCATGTGCTCCTTTAGGCGCCATTATCGCAGCGACAGTTTTGGCCTAGGTACGACTTGCCAGAGCTCAATGAAATTTCTTAAACAATATCCACTATGCGACACAGAACTGGCCTCGCGTGCTTCCCCGTACATGACCTTTGTTTTTGTGAATGAATTCGGGCACAAAGCTTTGACGGCTTCTTTTCGGACGAAACCACTGAAACATCATGCCGATTAGCCGCCTCGTTTTCAAATTGTGAGAAGACTTGCGTATCTAAGGCCGAATCAGTGGTCACATTTTGTGTCTCGGGCTACCTGCTGCGTCTTATGAACTTCTGGAGCAAAAATTCGAACACTGGTTCATACCACTGAACAAAAGCCGGCTGTCACTACCCAAGAAATATGTAGCTGGAAACTGTCGTCCATAATATGCTCGCATACCTTATAAGGCAGGCCGAAAATAGTCACAAAAGTTCCTTTCACAGTTTTTGATTTGGCAGAGTTCTAAGGCAGATGGTCCTTTCGGACACAGGGTCTTTACATTCAGCACAAACTTGTAGCGTTTCAAAATAAATGAACGTCCAAAAATGCTAATGATTGCCTTGAAGTAGCTCACGCGAGAAAGTCGGGCTTTTGGTGGCTTCTCTAAAGACTGATACAACATGATTAGCATTGTCACAGAAGGTCAAAGAGTTGCAAACTTCTAAAAAATTATTAAAACTGTCAACACAACTACCAACTTTAGTAGAAAAAATCGTGTCAAGGTTTCTAACAAGTGTCTGGTCAGTCAGTACATGAGGGGAAAATGTTCTATAGGGTCGAAACTACACATTAAATAATGGAAATGTACTTGCATAGTGTAGGTTGCCAATAATTACTAAAAATAAATGTGCTGCTTTGGCAAACGTAGCCTAAGTCGAAATTAGCGCTGTTATCACTATAAATTCATTTTGTAACATAGCAAAAAGCGCAGTGTAAGCCACACAACGTGTCCTCTACATTGATACCAAAGGCATAGCTAATATCAATTCTTGTATTTTTTTCCTCCTTCCCACTTGACTCCCAACTATTTTGTTCAGTTATGCACAAAACGACCCAAAGATATGCTCTGCTAAAGGTCTTTTATTGTTTCATAAACTCCCCAGAGTATGCCGCAGACGCAAGGGTATGAAGGGTGTTTTAATATATGCGCTTGATTACGAACCCCTGTATTGAGTGCAGATGCTCATTCTTCCCAGGAAGCACAGCAACAGAAGCCACCAATGCAAGTGCCGAGACGACGACTAGCCCCGAGGAGACCACACCTACGGTGACCCCATCTTCCAACAATGTCAGCTCACCCGACACCACAACGAGACTAGCTTCAGACGATGTCTGCATCGAGGCAACGATCCCAAACGTTATGAACATTGGAGAGGTAAAACGATTCTTTTTACTACGTCTTCGCCGGTATCTACAATTTTTTGGCCTTCCACTTCTTTGTTCTTCTTTGTTTCGGGCCTTCCACTTCTTTGTTCGCGTAGGAAAAAGTCCCGTCTTGTTCTTTTTCATAAAATTTACCACAATCCACAACTAGAACAAGACCTCTTTTCCAGACCACACTACATGTCATATATATGTGACCATCCCCACAAAGTACACATTTTTTTTTTTTGACATACCAAGTTCTTTCACGATTCCTTTATTCCCACTACCTCGAACGAATGAAACCAGCTACCCTCCTCTGTTGCCGAATTGACCAATGTCACTGCTTTTAAGACTGCTGTTGAATGCGATGTTTACTCTTAGCAGCATTTTTCTTTGTTCACTCTTATTCTTCTTATTACTATGTATACTATTACCCACTCCCTTTTGTAACGCCTTCGGGCCCTGAAGGTTCTGAAATAAATAAATAAATAAATAAATAAAATATCAAACAAAATATATCTATATCAGGATTTGCATAGTCCATTAGGCTGCCGCTTCTTAAACATAGAATCTATTATTAATATTATTGCTGACAAAACACCTTGATTTTTTCTTTAACGGGTTAGTACGTACGGTGTCGTAATTCAATAAAATTTCAGCTGTTAATGCCGTAGCTTACTCGCAAAATATCAATTGATGACAGGTCTCTTTTCCTCCATTTTTATATAACTTTGCGATAATATAACTGCAGTACTATGACAATTTTTGGTAATTTATGAGAAATAAATTATATAAACATAGGAAAATACACGTCATCATTAGTTTACACAGTAGCGTTCTCTTTAGGGATGTCTCGTGCATGTTTGTATTTGAATTTATATGTGTGCTTGCACATACACACGCAAAATTGGTCAACTTTTAGGTGGCTTGGAGGCCCAATCCTGCCCTCTGGCTACGTCAGCGCATAGTCTTAAGTTTGCGCTAGAGATAATTGGGGCATTTTAGCGTGAGCTTATAACTGAACCAGAGCACTTTGCGACGGCCCGACCAAATGGAGGTTGCTGACTGTTGCATGGAGTTCGTGAAGCTAGTCTTTGTATTTTTCGTATTTGCCTAATTCAGCAAGTTGAATTAACTAAGTTATGAAACAACAAAGCTTCGAAAAACATTCAAGGGGAAGTTTGTAGATCAGTTTGCAAAACTATCGATTAGACAGTTTTTGACTTTTCATCTATGAAGTATTAGTGTTTTTCTGCGTACTACAGATATCCGCGAAATTAAAAAAAGTAACTGTGTGGCATGCCCACTCGCGCGCCCTAATGTTCCGCGTGGAAACTACAACACAATTTAATTATGTTTGATGGCTCGACAGGGCTGCGCGATGACGAATGTCTTGCTAGCGGCAGCACAAGTGATAACCGTGTTTTTATCATTGTCAGGATTTATTGATATGCGGGGTATAACGTCCCAAAACCACCATATGATTATGAGAAACGCCGTAGTGGAGGGCTCCAGAAATTTCGACCACCTGGGGTTCTTTAACGTGCGCTCAAATCTGAGCATACGGGCCTACAGCATTTCCGCCTCCATCGGTAATGCAGCCGCCGCAACCGGGACTTGATCCCGCAACCTACGGGTCAGCAGCCGAGTACCCCAGCCACTAGACCACCGCGGCGGGGCTCATTGTCATGAACCAACTGCAAAGGAATCATATCTGTGGTGCGCGAGCATTGCAGTCACGGCTGCCATAGGCGAACAAGCAAGGATCCGAAAATTTCGACCAACTGGGGTTCTTTAACGTGCGCCCAAATCTGAGCATACGGGCCTACAGCATTTCCACCTCAATCGAAAATGCAGCCGCCGCCGCCGGGATTCGATCCCGCGACCTGCGGGTCAGCAGCCGAGTACGCTAGCCACTAGACCATCGCAGCGGGGCTCATTGTCATGAACCAACTGCGAAGGAATCATATCTGCGGTGCGCGTAAGGTTAGGGAGCATTGCAGTCACGGCTGCCATAGGCGAACAAGCAAGGATGACAGGTGGCATTTTTTTTTCTGTGTGTCTGTTTGACGAACATCCGTAGTAAGCAGATATCCACAATTCTCACTTCATCCACAGACGTTCGCAAAGTCTGGCATCTTATTGAACTTTTTGTTGGGTGAGCTGGTGCATGTATTAATGTTGTTCATGTTGGATGAGATAAGGCAAACTGAGGAAAACTTCTGAGTGCTATTTCTGTCTCTATGTTTTTGCCTATTCTCGGCGCGACATGGCCTACAAGTAGGCCATCTAGCAGACGCCTCCATCGAGATTCTATTCGGCGACCTCCACGCCAACACTAAAGTGCCATGGTATCGCCCCCTGATTAATATGCACATGCGCGATTCTGTGCTCTCATGTGAGGAATGTTTCCACTGAACTGCCGGGTCAAATTCGTTCATTCTATTTCTTCTGTTTTCTGCTAGCTGATACAATCTACAATATGCTGCACCGACTGGTTGTTGCACCAACTGGTTAGTGCTTGTTAGAGTTACCTAGGTGGCCGTTCTCAGGCCATGTGGCCGTTCTCAGGCTTACCTCCCTTGACAGTGGCACGTGATTTGCTTAAAAAAACGTGGACGATCCCCCTATCTAGGCAATGATACTAGACTAAAGTGCAACCTGTCTTAACGGAGACACTTGAGTGTTTATTGTGCAATGTTTAAGCAAGAGTAACAGATTGCAGAGTCACGTATGAACGGCGAGAAACTCGAAACTTGCAGCGGACACCTCAAACAGAAAGCACGCGAAAAATCAGCATACGCAAGACAAGCGCGGACTAATAACTGTCACAGTTCGGCTCTTAAAGACCGCTGTTCAAACAGAAAGGCACACGAACGAGCGTAGACGTATTCACAGGACAAGCGCGAACAACTATCACAATTCTTACTTCGTGGTGTGTCTGCAGCGTTCTCCTTTCGTAAATGTGATCGCTGCACCGAGCGAGGTGACCTTCGTTCTTCTCCCGAATTACGAGTCTGATGAGCGCGAGCACAGGATAGACCAAGCTCCGTGAAGGCGACAACCTTTAGAGGACGTCCAAAGTGGAACCGTCGCGCCATCTCGCGACTGATAACAAATGCGCGGCAAATTTCGGAGCTATGAGGTCCACCAAATGGCATATATGGTGTATACAAATGGCCTGCCTTTAGAATGTTCAACAACGTATGCTCTGTGGCGTAGTTTTTAGCGCCGCGCGCTGCTAATCAATAGGTTGCTGGTTCCATGCCACGCGCTTCTCGTTTCTTTGCAATCTGTTAGTACACTCTAAGCCGAAATTCAGCAAAGTTGGACTAACTGCAGTCTTTAAACCAATGGACGAACGGTTCGTCCAACAGGGACTAAATGTGTGACAATGCGTGCCTTGCGCAAACGCCCGGCAATGAAGGGACCAACGGGGAGGGCAACTGCGCCGCGATCGCCTCCTGTCGATGCTGCACTGCAATGCTCGGCGTGGTCGGCGATCATGAAAACAAGTTAAATAGGCTATACGCCACTGTGAAAGTGAAGCACTATGAAACGAATAGAAGATGTTATTAGTGGAAAGTAGTACAACACGCTGTCAGTGCACACAGCAAGTGCCCTCGCGTTTCCACCATGCCGGCACGGGCGAGCCGAAGCCAAGTGAAAGTCTCCGCAAACACGGGCAATGCCGAGTACTCGCTTTAATGTGCTGAATAAGTTCGAACTACGGTGAACACTGACAATGCTAATAAATGTAAGCTGTTCATCAGCGGTCGTGTACCCACACAGTAACCACAAGTTCAAAGCGATATATAGGAAAAGTAGGCTTCGTACGTCATCGGTATCAAGCGGGCTGCCGGCGTGAGTGCATTGCCGGCACAAGCGAAGGAAACGTCGCATACAAGTTCACAAAAATAGTAGCTCAGGCAAACTTATGTCTTTTTATCCATGCGACATTCGCTATCAAAAATCCAACGTGTAGGCGATCGCGGATACGACTAATCGTGCGGCCAGCGGTACACAGGTTGTGCCTTACCAGCACGATGAAAGAACCGTGCCTGCGAACGGTCTCGTCGCTGTAAGTATACAGATATCTACATCACTCCGTAAGACACAGCGAACATGGGGCACTTACCTATTGTTCATTTGTGACTATAAAATAACGACTACGAAAATTTCACGCGAGCCGCATGTTGCGATCGCCGGCGGTCGTTTAGCCGTACTCGTCGTAAGCCTAGCGACGCCGTCGGCAAGCCGACACGGTATGGCATCGGCGGGGCGGGCGCCTGCGGCTGCTTCGCCGGCTTTCACGCACAAGCGCCGCTGCTATGTTTGTGTTTGCGGATTCGTGCGCCAGCACTGCGAACGCTGGTTCGGCCGACATCATCGAATACCAGCTGATAATTCGTATTCTCGGGCTGGAGGCATGTTGAAGATTAGATAGATCCATATTAAAAGATCGATGCGCATCGGTGCTATGAATAAGCCCATGTAAATTTTCGCGTTACGGTGTCAATATTTATTGTTTTCTTAAGCCGAGTAAAAGTCTCCCACTGGCACTAGATGGGAGGTCAAAATACTGTGCTATATATACCCGAGAGTCTGTTCTCTGTAGTACAGCGCGGGCAGTCAGTGTTTGCGGTGTTTTACTTTGAAATAATAATGCGTATGTATGTGTGTCTGTGTGCGTGTTGCATGAATAACATACTATGATCTTCAGTGCTGATTAAATTGGAATAAACAAAATATACTGCACAAACGCAGTGTCACCATTTTTTTTCCATTGGTCCAGACGGTTCAACTGTTAGTCCCGCTGGAGCATTCTACTGGGGCCAACATTTAAACCAAGTGGAGTAAGTGCTTGGGGTAACGGTTGAGCCCTTGCAGTTACTCCCGCAGTTAGTCCAAAATTGGTTCAAAATCTGTGGCAGCGCATTTAGACCCCTAAAGGACCAATGGCATACCCCACTTTAGTCTTTTTCGGCTTAGAGTGTATATATTTCATAACGTCATATCCGTGACAAAAATACGGCAGCGGAGTCGTGGTGGACCCCGGCATAAAACACTTTAGTGTTGAAAAAAATTACACCATCTTCGACTAAATGAAACCATGAGTAGCCCGTGAAGTAGCGCATTGGTCAACTTGAAGTTCTGTTAGTTATGGGCACCTCACTCAATTTTAACGCCTCCTTGCGATTGGAGCACACCAAAAAAAATGCACTGTAGTTCCTGTTCCCCTGTTACTCGTCCCGAACTCTTGTTGGAGAAGGTCTCGCGGGTACATCGTCATGGCACGCGGGAACACGTGTGGTCATCCTGCGTCTGTAGAATATCTTTCACCGCAACGCCGACTAAATTTCAAGGCCGAAAGGCTGCCGCAGTGACGTCAGAGGTTGGGGGCCCAGTTGCCCAACTGAGCATGCTCAGTAAGATTTTTTTTTTCGCATCTTTTATTCGGCCCAATCAAGCCGCAGCAGCTGCGAGAGCGGGAGCGTTGGTTCTCCTAAAACGTGAACGAAACGCAGGCTTTCCGCCGCGTTCGCGGCGTAACTGGGCCCTCTGACGTCACTGTGGCAGCCTTTCGGCCTTGAAATTTGGTCGGCGTTGTTCACCAACGCCATCACGTGACATCTGCGAGAGTGTAAGAAAGAGCGGCCACAGTCTCTTTCCCAGCCCCTTACACAGGCCAGAACATGCCAGCTCGCCAACGTGTTCTGGCAGTGCTCTTGGGACAGATGTCGCGCATACGCAATAAGGGTGGTTACGCACACAACATTGAACTGCGTCATAAGCTGCTTCGCATCTAAGGGCATGTTCCGATACCAACCGTAGACGGCTACATAGACAGCTAAATGGACGGCGGCCATCTAAAGTCCCACTCACATACTTACGTAGCTGGTAAAATAGACTTCACGAAAACAGCATCGCAGACAAATACGATGCAGACAATATTATGCTGTCTAAGCAATATGGTGACTCGGCCAATCGCTCTGATAGCTAGGATCTCACCGGAATAGTGGTCTGCACACAAGCAGACGCTTCACCAGACACTCAATGCGAGTAACGTGCAATATTTCTTCGATTTTAACACGAATGTATCTAAAAACATAGGTTACGTTTGTTTATCTTAGCTTTCGGTTTCTCAACGCGAGGTGGCGTCTCGTCGCGTAGAAGCCGTCCAGGCGTTTTCCATTTCTCGGACAACATGGGTGCGATGTTGTCTTCTAAGCTGCCAGCACAAGGCTGCCTACGATGCGATCAAAGGAATCAGAACACAACCTAAAACACGTGGCGATTTCGCAGCGATGCGACCCACTTGCTTTTACGCCACACTCATATTTTTTGCTTGACAGCCAGTTGATCTAATTGATAAGGACGCCATTTCACATCCTGCGACACATACCTCCTGGCTCTATCAATTCTCTTTCGTCACTGTAGGTATTGCACAAAAGCTGAAAACTATGCATTCGTAAACTTCAACAACTTGACAACAGCCACCAGAGCTTAGTTTACGCATTAAATATACAGCACAGTGTTTTCACCAAGGCTTGACAGTTGAAGAGCCCCTACACCGCTCCGAGTTTAAGTAAGAGACATTGGTTTTTTCCTCGCCTACGCTATTTTTAAAGATGATAGTCTATTAGGGGGTACTTCAGCGAAAAAAATTTAGTCTGTCTGTAAACGTCACCAAACGATACCCCTAACGGGCAATCCCATCCGCAGTGCCCACCAATATTGCTCAAGCTTCCGCGTTGATAATTGTGTGATTGTCAATTGAAAAGCTATCATCGCGCATATATGAGGCACCACAATAACACGTCAATATTTTGTATGTGTCTCTCTATACTGGAGAAGGCGTACATAAGTCATTCAAGGGACCGCAGCCTTTATCACGCTGCGCTGACAATACAACGCGATGCTCGAAAAGGCAAGTGTATCCAACGTTTTGCTAAGACGACACGGTGGTGCCACCTGCCCGTCGCATTGCGTTCTACTACTTATCGCCTCCGAGAAAGGCGCGCATCTCTCCCCGCGGGCACTCGTGTCTAACGTACCTCGTTGCGCTCGTTCACCTTTGCTGCACGGATCGAGACTCTCTAACGCAGCGCTTCCAGAATACAATTCACCGATTTTATCGCGCAGAACATCGAATGAACGCTTTGTTCGCTCTCTCCAGACGCAATGGTATCGTCTTTCGACGACATTTGAACTGAAACATGCAGACATGAGGTCAATTTTTTTGTACAGGTGCAACCTATTCTTCGCCGCTCCTTTCCTCCTAAGACAAGGGGACAATGTTGACACTAAGCGTTGACCCTAAAGGTCTTGCGATTTTCGTCTTGCCAGTTTTTATTTCTCCCTGCTCTGTCGAAAACGCACAAGACGAAATGAAATCATTTCGTCGCGCACAATACGAGAACAAAGACTGAACGGACGCGCGAGTGCATGAGAAATGGGGGTAAGAGAAAAAAAATTTCATCATTTCTCGCAATGCGGAACCATGAGTAGCATGCAAAACAGGGCAAAGAGTCGACCTAAAAGTTTCGTTCATCACGGGCAACTTTCCCGACGTTAACGCCTCCCTGCAAGTAGAGCACATCACGAATTCGCTGTAGTTTCTGTTGCTGGTGCTCGTCCCGAACTCTTGTCCAAGTATGGCACACGTGCGCACGTGCGTCCATCGCTCGTTGCCAGAATGTCGTTCCCTGAGAAATAAACTAAGGAGAAATAGAAAGAAAATAGAAATACGCAAAGAAAAGACAGAAATAAAAAACAAAAAGAAAAAAGAAAGAGATAAAACTGGAGAAAAATGAACAAGGCTGGACTGCTCTGCGCTTTTTCGAGTCGGGGCACCCTGTCGTGCGAAGTGGCCTTAACTTTAATATTTCGTAGGTTTTAATTGTTGTTGTTGAGCCGCAAAAGGAGGATTGGTTAGTACATTACTTAGAATATAATAGTTAGACTGCCTGTACCGATTTACGAAATATCGTATCATAGCTAATGCCCCACGCCGCCGTAGTCTAGTGGCTAAGGTACTCGGCTGCTGACCCGCAGGTCACGGGATTGAATTTCGCCTGCGGCGGCTGCGTTTCCGATGGAGGCGGAAATGCTGTAGGCCCGTGTGCTCAGATTTGGGTGCACGTTAAAGAACCTCAGGTGGTCGAAATTTCCGGAGCCTTTCACTACGGCATCTCTCATAATCATATGGTGGTTTTGGGACGTTAAACCCTACATATCAATCAATCAATCATAGCTAATGAAATGGCGCCAACTAACGCTATTGGTGACTTGACTGGTCTGATATGCTGGGAACGAAATGTAGTGCGCTTTCGTCACGCAATGCGGTTCCCTTTTTTAAACACCTTTGCTCACGATAACCAAGAGAACCTCCGAATAAATTTCGTGGGAAGCCTGTGCAGTTAATACAGAAAGCCCAAGGAGTATTTTCCTAGCAATGCTAGATATAAAACAATGATATTTTCCTACTCAACGGCAATATGCTGGATCTGTTCATACATTCGTCTATGCATGTACAGAAATCTCAGTTATTCACCGAAACGTGCAAACATTTGCGTTGTGTCATGCGAAATACCTCTCAGCCTAACTGTGCATGGCATTCCATTATTGTTTTACTGACAGGTGTGTTTACCCAATCATTTAAAATAAGTCTTGGTCTCGAATCGGAAAGATCTAATCGAATAAATCTCTGAATTCATCATTTGTCTTAAACGTTGATTTGCAGACAATCAGAATAAGAACAACGTTTACTTGTTTTACTTGTTTACAGTGCCTTGGAGAAGACCTCGATTTGTGCTCCGGAGAAAAGGTGAGTGATATTTAACACTCCAGCGTTAAAGAGCTGGTTTCGCAGAAGTGTTGGGTGATGGTGGTGATAGTTGTGAACGAAAAAGCATTCTCGTCTATAACCAAAGGAGCTAGAAACACGCAAAGTAAATAAATAATAAAATATTTTTGGTCCTAGGGAACATTTAAGCCAGGATATCCCCGTGGCAAGCAGGCGCTCTACCATAGAGCGACAGTATCTGCTGAAACTGTGATGAAAAAGAAACGCTATAGGAATGTCATGTAGAGGATGCATCGTAAATTGCGTTGGAGAATCGTAGAATCGCGACACTTTAAAAACATACTTGGAATTCAAGGCGCGAAGGGGACATGGACGAAGAAATACAACAAACAAGCATGAAGTGCCTGTGTGTATTGTCTTTCTTCATCCGTGTCGTATTCACGCCTTAAACTTCAAGTATTTCAAACCAACAAGCCCAGTCTGCCATTCTTATATGTCAAAGCATGCGACTTCAGCAAAAGTGGGTGTTGTGCAGGCACACTCATTAAGAAGCGCTCAGGCATTTTTATTCATAATGAGCAGTAGGGTCATCAACAATGTCAACAGTTGCATAGGTTCGCGTGTTGTCCTAAGGACGCGTCATCATCATCATCATCAGCAGCAGCAGCAGCAGCAGCAGCAGCAGCAGCCTGCCTATGTCCACTGCAGGACAAAGGCCTCTCCCATGTTCCGCCAGTCAACTCGGTCCTGTACTTGCTGCTGCCATTTAATACCCTCAAACCTGTTAACCTCACCTGCCCATCTAACTTTCTGTCTTCCCCTAATCCGCTTGCCTTCTCTCGCAATCCAGTTAGTTACCCTTAATGACCAGTGGTTATCCTGTATACGTGCTACATGTCCGGCCCATGTCCATTTCCTCTTCTGGATTCCAACTATGATATCCTTAACCCCGGTTAGTTCCGTTATCCATTCTTATCTATTCTCTTCTGCTAAGGTCACGCCTACCATTTTTCTTTCCATTGCTCGCTGCGTCGTCTTCAATTTAAGCTGAACCTTTTTTGTAGTTCTCCAAATCTCTGCACCATAGCTACGGACGCGTAGCGTGCCCTTATTCACTCATTCACAAAAGGAATAACTATTACGTAGTGTACACTTGATAACTGTACTTGCAATAGGTATTCATTGATACCTTGAAACGACCCATGTTACACGCCCATTCGTTTGCTTCTTTACGTCATTGTTAGGGCATGCAGCATGAACCAAAACAGGCTAGCAGTTCAGACGGTGACGTGCACGAGGCCCAATCGCGCTATCGGTACCCGTTTTCGAAGGCGGAGCTCAAGTGTCCTCCAATTTGATTGCGTCAAATAATTCACTCGGAACTTACCTTCATGCAAAGAAATCGATTAGCTTAGTAAGGTGTGTTGTGAAGTTCTCTTTCTGAACATCAGGAAATTTGTTGTATCTCTTTATCCACGCTGCTCACCTTCAATTTTGTTTGGCAATTTCGTTGAAAGTTCAAGTTACACATGACCTAATACTGCTTCTGGTGAAATTTTATCTTTAACGGCAAATACAAAGGAAATAATCAATTTGCACTAAAAACTAAACAAAGATGTTGAAAATGCAGGAAAACCTGGTCCAGAAAGGAATGTTCAACAGAAAGAAAGCTTAGTGTTTTCAGTTCTCAGCGATCTAATGCATAAAAAGAAACATTAAGTTCTTCGCATTACAAGTATCATCTAAACTGCGGTCATAATAGTTGGGATTTAAACCTTTCTCATCGAACTAAGCAGCGCAATAGCTTATCCCCTATTTTATCCTGCTGGGCACTTGTTGCACTCTCTTGCATGAACCCTCATTTGTAGTATTTCGTTATATCTTTAAAAGCAGGTATTACTTTATTTTGCTTTCCAGATAGCTGGGCAAGCTTTCATGTCACTTGTGAGGGTAAGTACGCGCTTGCCTTTAGAAAAAAAAACTAGCTGATTTTCATCTCGTAAATCTTTGTCTTAGAATACTTATTGACATCGCTCAAATTTGCATAATAGAATACCACGCCTTTCCACACAAATTTCTGCTAAATTCCATCGCTTGAGCCTCTGCAAAACAGGAAAAAATATCATGGCGTGGTCGTTTTTGATAGCGCTGCGATAAATTGTTTTTGGCAGGAAGTGTGAGGGGGGAGGGGGTCAACTTCACTTTATCTACAATCATGCATGAGTTTTAATAAGCGCATGCATACGTACAAACACTAAAATTCAAGAAAAATCTTTGTAGTGGGGAGGGAGAAAGGATGTGATGGTACGGCTACGCCAGTGCACACATCGTATTCGAAAACAGCATGCTTTTTAGCAAATAAAAAAAAAGAACACTAGAGTGTGACGCAAGCGGGACCGCTCCAAGGCACTGCTCTGTCAGCTTGTATACAGCAGTAAGGACGAGGAATAACGATTAGCGGAACGGTTACAAAACTGCATGCAAACTAAATGTAAAAGTAACGACAGAAAAAAAAGTAAACTGAAATAAGAAAAGCACATACGAAACATCAAGTTTTCACATAGATAACGTATTAATGCGAATATTAAGTTGTTGTAATAGCACTATACAGGAATATTTTACATAACAATGCCAGCTAATTACCGCTTACAAAGCTGCTTTGATCTTTGTATTCTATTTTAATTCATCGTAAGAAGCGGAAAGCAAGACATCTACTTCACAAATGTGTGGTGGTGTAGGAGGCACTAAGGTTTGAATGTATTTTTCCTTGGTGAACAGTACATAAATGAGTAATCATGTAATCATGTTTGTATAAAAATTATCTTTCACCCAGTTATGCGAACGAGCTGGCATGCGGTATTGCTTTTAGTGGCATTATACTCATACCCTTGCAGACCTGTTGGCAAGCTGTTTGGTGCTCTCGCAGCCAAAAAGACCAGACAAAAAGAAAAAAAGTTCATGAAAGCAGAAGCAGACGCACAGCCACGGTGTAGAAACGAAAGCTGTTGTCTTTGCAGATAATCATACTCGTTGTTCGTCCATAAATTCGGTGTCGATTAGGCAACGACCCATACGCTTTGTCACAATAAAGTATTGTCTAGATATTACTCCTCAAAACTTGCTTTCGGTGTAATTAAGACACTATAATCATAAATGTACCCGGTAGATCCGGAATTCACCTTTAAATTTCATGGATAATCACATACCCTAAGTTTAAAATGAAGAAAGTTTTTACCAAATGCATCCCTTCAGCAATGTACACCTTATTTACGGTTTTGCAGTGCACGGCGAAGGTGACCTTTGAAAATATGTCTCCTATTAACTCTTTGATTGCCTTACGGGATGTATTCACGACCATCATCTACAGGGTCAGTCCCAGAGGTAAGCTACTCGCCAATTCCTCAACATTGCGTTTCACGGTGAAGTACGATAGTTTGAACCGTATAAAGCCACGCAGTGCTTCTAGCTCCTCTGGAAAAAGACCTTCCACAGGCGTCGCGTTGGAACAACCCCTTTTGTGGTTGCAACGTTGGCTATGAGCCTTTTTAATAATTTAACATAATCACGTATGTAGGCCTATCACTCAACAAACTATTGTCCAGTTTTCGTAGAATGCGCAGAAGACCGCTACTTATAATATTTATGTATTCTTATTTATTTTTACATATTGCAGCCCAACTAAAGCTATCACAAGAGTGTTTTTAAAAAAATACTGAAGGCAATGAAACACTGGAAGAAAAAGAAATAAAACCATTATGCAACTTTGAAAAAGCATAGCGTAAATTAATATGTTTATGCATGCGAAAAATTTGTAAAGACAGTGATTTCTCGGTACCGGGAAATGAAATCCACTTTTAAAGGGTGTGTGCAAAGAAATTGTAATTAAGTAGGCTAGTACTCGGTTGTACTAGTGTCAGCTTCAGTTTAAGGTCATTCCACGCTGATTTTAGTTTATGGGGAGACAAAATTTTGAGATATGGTGGTGGTAAGAACATTTATTAAAATAAAAGTAGCGCAGGGATTTAAAGAAAACATGCAGGAATGTGCACATTATGGCACCGTAGCCTACACTTCGTTGTTATGAAGCTGATTTATCTGTTCTACGTGCGTGCTGACATTATGTCGCACCACGCGCTGCCTGTTACACGCCAGTCTAGTCGGTGCACCTGGTAAGTTTACGATGTACTCACGACTACTTGATTTGCCTAAAACGACACTACTCTTCGTAACGCCCGGCTCAATATCTTAAAAAATTATAGGTAATGACTGCTCGTCGATGAGTTCCCATGAAAGTCTTGCCCAGAATGTGTGTTAGCTGGTGGATTTTTTTTAGTGTCGATTTCAAAAAAAAATCTCTGTATGCCTGAGAAAGCTAATTTTCCTGCTAAAAATAGAGAACCAGTGTCGAATATAGTTATTCCGGCGCATTTATTTCATAGGTTTAGTCTGAGTGCACTCATTTTCTTACTTTGGACAAACTGTATATTGATTTCCTAAATATTTCCGCAGTTAGGTACGTTCACATTTTTGCGCGATTCTGTCCACGCTTAATCAATTAGTGGTCGTATTTCTGCTTTTCAGGGGCAGCCATATTACAGAATATGAACTTCAAGCCAGACGGCAGTGATCTCAACAATAACATATGCAAAAAACCGATCAAGCTTGGCTTTCCCAACAGCATGGGAAAGGTGCGTTAAGGTTCACCACCGTTAAAAGCATTGTTTTCCAAGACAGTCTCCTTGCACTGCACTAGAAGGGGGCAGTGAAGTGAACGACGCGGCCGCGCCGCATCTCCGCTGATACTTCGGCGGGTGACGGTAGAGGCGGCGCTGTAGTCGCTTTGTACTGAAAATGTCAAGGGCATCAGCATTCGGAGCGTGACCATCGTAGCCAGCAAAAGCATGCAGCGACTCGTTTTTATCGCGTTTAATGCAGTGCTGAGCATTTGTCGGTGTGAGCGCACCTGCCTAGCACCATGGTGCACGAAATGAATATGCAGGCGTGCCGAAATAGCGTCATGAAATTCCATGTTTCAAGAGGCTGCTGACCCACACAGACACATAAAAAGAAAACGACGTACAAACAAATTTTCATGGATCCGCCCAGCCGATCACCTAATGTTATGCGGCATGAAAGGAGCGCTCTGAGCTGCGGTGAATCATGAGTTTCTACTGGAGAACTACAATGAGCGGGGAAGTATCAAAACCACAAAGAAAACGTAGACCTGCTTTGAGTCTCTACAATATCCACAGCACTGTTTCTCATTCGACTCAGCATGCGCTCTATTGCTTCATGAGAACACCGTGTACAAGTAACTTTGTCACATTTATATTGGTGATGACTCGGCTTTATTGTGCCAGTTTTGCGGAGGATCATAATGCTGTCTGAAAGACTTATCCCAATAGCTCTAATCATGTGCTTTCGTGCCTACTGTGCATCGCTTATACAATCTTCAAGTGCTTATCATGCCAGGAGGTGAGTCAGCGAGTGAGTCGACAAAACGAATTTACATCGGAGTGAGAAACTCTTGGGATAGAGGTTATCTTAAGCATATTGAAAAGCGTGGTTCTATAGACGGTTTGTCTGTTATCCTGCCTGAATATTCACTATAACCAGTTCTGATTCAATATGGACGGCTCATATTCTGCTGCTTTCCAAACCTCCTGTAGGCGCCATGCTATTGAAAGACAGCAAACGCTTGTTTACGACACTGGTTTGTATTATCAGTGTAGTTGTTTTATTTATTGGCTGTTGTAATGCCAAGGAAAGTATAGGAAAGTTATTAGACAGAACTGTAATGTAAATGTCAAGAAAAAAAGTGGGTCAACAAATAACTTGCCCTGGGCAGGAACCGAACCTGCAACCTTCGAATAACGTGTTCGATGCTCTACCACTGAGCTGCCACGGCCATCCTCCCAGCCACTTTATTGGGTATATATGTGAATTTAAACGTGGGAGGGTCAGTCAGCGCCATCTGTTGCCATGACGACGAGTGTGGAACACTTCTTATTAGCCTGTTTGGCGTCACGCGTAGCACATGAGCTTATTCCGAGCTAGAAGCTGACCAATTATTATTATTATTATTATTATTATTATTATTATTATTATTATTATTATTATTATTATTATTATTATTATTATTATTATTATTATTATTATTTCGGACCAAGTGTACTGTTTGAGAGGGGCAGGCTTAGGTATATAACTAATTCTGCACCTCCTTTGCAGTGTTTAGGGGAGATGTACAAACTCTGCAATGAAGGAGATATGGTTGACGTAAGTACATTATTTTGAATGACCCATAAGAAGGCGTCAAAGACGAGTTCAAAATGGTTTCTGCAAGTCTATACGACACTTCCGATCATGCGATACCATTACGTCTGCTCAACTCAAATATCTCCAAAAAATAAGCCAAGTGTTTTTTCCTGTACGTAGTGCGCTGCGTATCCAAACAGCAATAAACTGAGCATGATACGATTGCGATGGAAAAACTGGGAGGAAATGAATTATAAGAAAATTTGAAAGTTGGCAAGGCCTTGATAGAAAAGACAGCAGCAATAACAGTCAATTCAGTTCAATTAATTTATTATTCACTTTAAGATATCTACATCGGTTTTGTTAAAAAGGCAGAGCTCCGTAACTCGATGAGGAGTTGTTAAGGGGTCAGTTATGTTGTATACAGTTATACAAACACTAGCGCGCACAAGAAATTAGTATGACGGTGATAGGATGGGGTAGAATTCAAACAAGTGAAGAGAGCATGAACCAATGTTGGTTAACCTTATACCAGGTAAACAACTGGCCTTCTGTTAGGTCTGTTGGTAGTCTGTTCCAAATACGTAATGCGGTATGTGTGAATGCAAATGATCCATAATTCGTGCGAGACTTTGGAATGGTTAAAGTACTGGACGTAACTGATCGTATCGGGTATGGGCTGTTTCGGTAGATAATTTTCAAAGAACACAGTATAATTATATGCATAGTTTTAAACAGCAATACGAGAACATGGTAATCAATGCAGCGTTTCAAAGGAAGAATGGTCACAGGAAGCGTTCACAGGAAGAACGTTTTGCAGTGGCAAGATAAGGAAGATTGTCTCCATGACTGTGACACTGAAATTTCGTTTTAAAAATGCAGATTTCCGAAAGACAGGTTTCCGAAAGACATCTATCTATCTATCTATCTATCTATCTATCTATCTATCTATCTATCTATCTCTATCTATCTATCTATCTATCTATCTATCTGTCTGTCTGTCTGTCTGTCTATCTACACTCATAAGAAATGAGTGCGCATGCCCAAATAAAAAGGTACTGTGGACAATAAAGTGGTGCTGGCTTTTTCTTTGTATACAGCTCATGACCACATTAGAAAAGGAAATTCGACATCCACCAGCTTGTAGGGCGATGTCACTAGAAAATCCAATCAGATTTCCTAACTATGAAGGTTCTTAGTTGCCGAAAAATTCGTCCTTGTCTGAGGTTGGAACTCAGGATGGAAGCCTTTTCAGGGTGGTCCCTCTACCACTTGAGGTAACCAGAGGAATAACGCGTGGGTGGATTCTCAGATAACCGCTAGACTGAGGTATGGCATTGTGGTAAACTGACATAAGAAACTATGGGTATTCAAGAAGGTACAGTTGTGAATTCGAAAATGTTGGGGCTTTTTCTGGTTTCATGCTTACGTGACTTTACGTTATCAACTACGTTCACGGCAACATTCGATCTCTTTGTAAATGAAATTTTTGTATGCAGGTTTCGTACGCAACATCATTCGTTGCTGCCGTAACGGTGAGTATCGATCTTTCAGTAATCACAGCGGTAAAATTATAGGAACACTTTTTAACTACGCACTACTGCTGCAAGCTATAGGTATATCGAGATTTGCATGGAATTCTCGTATTTGGCAGTTTAATTCTCAACCATATATAAAAAGGTTAATGTACAACTGATATTAAGAAATACTGCATAACAAAAGCAGTTCTGGTTAGAATTTGAAATCACCGAAAAATGGGTGCGAATTTGGGAACATCAACACCAAAATTCTAGAACCTTCAAGAATGGGTCATGTAAACCTTAGGCAACAGACAAAGTTAACTAAATTTGAAGTTTGTTGCTTTTTGTTACCCTTGGTTCATTCAAATTTTGCACATGATACACCTTAAAGGGGTACTGACACAAACATTTGGCAAGCACTCTCAAATTATGACAGCTAGATTGCCACTATCCCTCAAGAGGAAGGTATATAACAGATGTATCTTGCCGGTAGTTAGCTACGGAGCAGAAACCTGGAGACTTACAAAGAGGGTTCAGTTTAATTTCAGGACGGCGCAGCGAGCAATGGAAAGAAAAATGGTAGGTGTAACCTTAAGAGGCAAGAAGAGAGCAGACTGGATTAGGGAACAAACGGGGGTTAAGGATATCATAGCTGAAATCAAGAAGAGGAAATGGACATGGGCCGGGCATGTAGCGCGTAGAAAGGATAATCACTGGTCGTTAAGGGTAACAAACTTTATTCCCAGAGAAGGGAAGCGGGTTAGGGGGAGACAGAAGGTTAGGTGGGCAGCTGAGATTAAGACGTTTGCGGGTATAAATTGGCAGCAGCAAGCACAGGACCGGGTTAACTGGCGGAACATGGGAGAGGCCTTTGTCCTGCAGTGGACGTAGTCAGGCTGATTATTATTATTATTATTATTATTATTATTATTATTATTATTATTATTATTATTATTATTATTATTATTATTATTATTATTATTATTATTATTATTATTATTATTATTATTATTATTATTATTATTATTATTATGATACAAACACTTTGGCCTCGCATTTTTCTGCTGCAATGCGTTGCTGGGGGCCTGTTAGTCATGACACGACACATCATTTTCTGCAGCACGCGATAGATAATTAATTACAGGCCCTTAAATGTCTCAGTTTTGGTTTGAGAGAGCTCCAAAAACTGGGTGCAGCTGTCGCCACCTAGCGTGTGCAGCTTTTGAACACGTCAGCACACAGAACCGTGACACACTTTCGCACGATCTGCATCAAGAATTACTTTCGAATAGGAAACGGGACTGCAATGTCGCCAAACACAGAAATTTCTAAGCCTGCGCCAAGGCCACGCAATCGCAACCAGCTGCCGAGAAATATAGACTGTGGTTAAAAACGCGTCAAAAGAAATATGGCGGCTATGACGTCATCATAACTTGTTTTGCTGACTGCAGCGTGGTGACGTGATGGAAGTAGGGGGTCCCCTAGGGGTCCCCTTCGATGGTGTCAATGGCACGATGGAGTCGAGGCCTCGCGCAGACTTCAAAGTTCTTTTAAAATACCTTCCCAGCTATATTCGTTGTTGATACTTTGCAGATTATATAAGAATGTCCCTGGGAGTCAACTCTACAGGCTATCTCGGCCACAAAGTTTTGTGTCAGTGCCCTTTAAAAATTGTTTCCTTGTTGTCAGATTGAGCAGCCCGCAAATTGGGACGTAAGCAGTTCTTGCGTGAGGATTTTGTCTGACTGGTTTAAGCAAAGTACTCATTACCTTCGCAATGCTTATGTGGGTGTCTCTTTGCCGTTTGCCAATCAATATTGTTGAACTTGTTAAATGCGATCCACAAACTTAACAGGACACTCAGCTCCACCTTTGCTTCCCGCAAGCACCCTTCGCTTGACTTCCAATTATTTCGGCAACCTTTCATACAACCTCCATTTTTAGTGCGAAACACGGCAGGAAGGAGAAGATGGAAGCTTGTGATGAAAAATTGCGGAAACACGAGTTAAGTCGAGCCGACGTTTTGAAAAGTGGACTTGTCTTCCTTAAGGCAGGAAGACAAAGTTAATAGGGCAACAAGAACAAGCTTTTGTAATAGTTAGGAGCACTAGACGGCCCACTCGTTATGCTATACGCATTGTCCGATGACTGGTTGTTATTTCGCCGTTTTAAAACACTTTATACGTCGTAATAACGCGACTTTCCCGACTTCAAGTTCACCTAATGCAAGTTTGCCAAAAAGCCACAAGCACCGGTGTAGCTCAGCGGTAAAATACTTGGCTGGCACCCAGCGGACCCGGCTTAGACCCCCTCTGTGTCATTGGTGCTTGTTTTTTTTTTCTAATTTCGCGGGATGTGGTTATGGACACCAGCGGCGGCGGCGGCGGTGGCGGACACCTGCGCGTGACCCGAGTTGTGATCTCATAACAAAGGAATCTGTGGAGTTGTGATCTCATAACAATGGAATCTGTGGAGCACTATTGTAGAAAGTTTTCAACATTAAGAAAGCTGTCACTGGAAATTCCGTTACGAATTCTTGGTCTATAGCTCCTCATTGTGAAATTTACTATTCCTAGGTGCTCATACCTAAGGGCATAGCAACGGAAAAATGTGTGCGGCCATGCAAGATTTTATTTTACAGTCTAAGAGATTTACTTAATAACCTAAATACCAAAAGGTTCTCAGTTAACCCATGTAGGCTATAAAAAATTTCTATGATATCAATCATTTATTGCTGATAGGAACTAATTCATCAAAATTCTTTCTCAAAAATAATTTACGAAAGGGTCCATATTTTTGTTAATTTTCTTTCCACCAGTCTTTAAATATATACTTTCGCTTTTTTTTCTTAAGCTACCCGATTCTTGGCTGATACCCCAGGGGAGGGGTGTGAGCCAGAACTTTTAGGATCTACATCTACATCTACAGCTTTCGCTGCAAAAAGTCACAGCTTTGGCGCAAAGGTGAAGCGATGAACGCGATAGGAACAAATTGGAAGGTCACGTGCAGAATGGCCAGCAGATCGAAACATGCCCCGCGTTTCTCACGCACAAATGACCCACGAAGCGGACTCTCAGGGACAGATGAACGCAAATAAGTGCCTCTGTTGTTACTTTGCTGTGTCTGAAAAGTGCGCTCTTTTCGCAAACGCACACTGTGCAACAGTTGCAGTGACCTTTGTCTGTCCGGTAACTAAAACAGAATCGCTCCGCTAAAAGCTGAACACCATGCAAAACGTACAATCCTCCCTACCGCGAGCTAAGGACGTGCGAGGGAGCGTCGACTCCCTGCTCTTTGCAGGGCTAAGTGTGCGTGGGAGATGAGCGTGTGGCCGTCGCGTCGGGGCGATGTTGCTACGCGCGCTCATTGTGCCATCTTTCTGGTAATGCTAAAAACATGATTGTCCCCTCCCCTCCGAGATTCTCGTCAGCAGCGGTAACAAGGCAGATGTAGATAGCTTGCCGTTTGAACGTTGAAGGACATGGTCCTTGGTGGCTCAGTGGCTAACGCCTGACACTCACGATTCAGAGGACCCAACTGCGATTCCGTGCGACGGAGTCTTTTGCTGAATTCTTTTTCTTTCTTGCATTTTCATATATATAGATACGTATACATATACGGTGAGTGACAACGACGCCCATGTCGACGCCGATGCCGGCGGCAAAATCAAGCCGAGAGTGTCCATATAATTGCTATCACAATGAAAGAAAGCTCTCAATGGCAGAGTTTTGAACTTTGCGCCATGGTCTTAATGGCTTAGCTTTACTATTGTGACCATAGAGCTCGTCAATTACAATGGCACGATGGTAGTTCAACTGTCTATTATGGTGTTTTCTTTGTCTGTTCAGTGCGGCTTCACCGAGTTTGCCACCACAACGCCAATAGATAAGTTCCGTGGCGTGGTCTGTGACATTTTGATGGGCTCTAAAGCCGTGTTTGGAAAGATTCCATTCGTCGGTTCTGGTACTTACGAGTTGGCAAAGATTATATTCTGTAAGTATTCCTACAGTACTCTGGTGACTTCGTTACGTTCATATCACATGCGGGACATGACTGCATATTGTGCGCCTCAATACAGGGGCGCCATTCTGGACAGCTTCAAGTTCAGTGAGCAGGCAAAATTCTTTGATCGCACACTTCAGGCCAATAAGAGAGGCTGCGGTAGCAGGCCTCTGAGAAAATCAGATCCAGGGGAATAGACTAACTTTATCCGGGGAGAGGGGGGCAAACGATACTTTTAATGTATGTTGATGTGTGTCCGTGGAGGCCAAGACTGGTATTGTGCCTAATGATATAGTGTGATGACGATGGACGCCAGCGTATCCTGGGCCATTGTGCTTGACTAGTGCGAAGTAGAAAGAAAGATGTTGTTTGGAATAGAACAGTTTAGAAAACGAGGTACACAGCATATTACTTGTAGTTTTAATTTCAAGTATTACGTCTTACTTCCACTTCGTTTCTTTTTTTAATATAACCTTTCGAATAACCTTTCAAATTTTCAACTACGCATTCTTGGCCAATCCTCCGGAGTGGGCAGGTGCCATAAGATTGAAGGAAAATACAAAACAACAAAAACAGCCTACCTGCAGCAAGGGTGCTGTCCCTTTTTAATGCATGTAAAAGGTAAATATTTAATTTCCAAAGGTGGAAGCATGTCAGTTTTAATCTCCCAATCACCCCCATTTGCCCGAGCCAATGACCACAGCTAAAAAAAATGGAGATCTCGGCAACGGACATGGTGGATTTCGACATTTTCCAAAACGGTCTTCGCGTGAAATACCAGTGGAATGTTGACGCATATTTGGCTTATACTTGTTTGGCCCGCTACTACTTATAGAATGTTCGTTTGTTTCGATTATATTTATTGTGAAACGCCCATCTGTGTTTCCAAAAACGTGAACTATGTATGTTGCCGATGTGCCTAATCTGTGTTCGTTCGCGCACGTGAACTGAGCCAAGCCACGGGGGCATAACAATTGTGCCCAAATATTTCCACCATCAAAATACAGCATCATAATGAAGCCGGAGTGTAACGGCAAAGCTTAAGCTTAAAGGCCACCTGTCACTCAATAAGGATGGAGAATTCTTATTGGCCTTCACAACAATATCATGTGGCTGAGTATTGCCCCCGAGTATCCCAACCGTCGTATTCATTTAGCCGACACAACAGCATTCCACACCAAGCAACGAGGCCGCTTCTCCTACGTTCATTTACATGATTGACGTGGTATGAGTGTTATTGTTTATCACTTGCAGCCTAATTCTTATAAGTGAGCAGTTTTATGACGCTGTTAGCCTGCCTCGGTTTGTCTTTCGATGTTTCGACGATTTGTGTTCCGATGTTCTGCGTTCGCGCAAAATCTCGAACGAAAAGTGTTTGTACACTTGTATAGCCGCTTCCAACACAGAACTAAAACAGATACATATCAAATATAAAGACTAACTGTATCCGGGGAGAGGGGGGCAGACGGTACATTTAAGGTATGTTGATGTGTGTCCGTGGAGGCCAAGACTGGTATTGTGCCAGTTCTGCGTTCGCGCAAAATCTCGAAAGAAAAGTGTTTGTACACTTGTATAGCCGCTTCCAACACAGAACTAAAACAGATACATTTCAAATATAAAGAAAGTTTTAGTGAAACCCAGACATTCAGTCTCTTAATTCATGTACTTTAAGGGGCAGAGTTCCGAGTGGCGGGAAGAGTGTTCAGGGTGCGACCAAGAGAACAAGGTTCAGGGTCGAAATTCAGGGCGTAGAAGGTTAAATATTTCCCTCACTCTCGTATGCTTGGGCAATTAGAATAAGCTGCAACTAATAAACATCCAAAAAAAGCATGCTGACATTCCGAATAAAGTCAGAGCATTTACCGACATACAATTACGAGCAGAACAAGATGAAACAAGAGACTGCGTTAGAAGTCTACGAAATAAGGCCGAATTTTTTCCGACGTCCGGTATGCTTTTTTATTATGCTGTTTGTCGCGTCACAACATAGCGGTTGTGAGATTTGCGCATGTCTCTTTCTCGGTTGTCCAATATGCATGCGTCATACAGAGTTAGAAAACTTCGTAACTTATGCCTTTTCTTCTCTGTTTATCGCACAGGTTAGCCTGCCTCGACTAAACAACTTCATGTTTCCGAAATTCGTACTACATTCATATGAAGAAGTTTTCGTCAATAAAAGAACCGCACCAATTTTCATGCCCGAATGAGTATTTATTATACAGCAAGCCCTCATAAAAAAGTTCATCACTTGTCTTTAGTGTTCCTTGCTGGATCGGTTCTGTGCAACCCTCCCCCTTGAGAACCACTACTCGCGTCTCAGTGAAGTGTTCAATTTTAGATGTGCCTGCATGATTTTGTACAAGGTAATATCGTGTATTGAGCGCTATTATATCGACAATACTATCACCTGAATGGGCACGCTTACTCAATGAAAAGCTCCGTTTCACATTTCAATAATTTTGAGACATGAGCTAGTTGGTCCTGCTTGCCTGCGTTGTCTCCATTCAAAGTGTGCTCCTTCACTGCATGGTCATGGCTTTGGGACGTAAAACTCCAGATAGTATTATTATATTACCACGGTGTGCTGTAATGATTCAGTCCTTGGGCTGACCATTGTGAAAACAGCAAAAAGTGAGTTCTTCATGAATGAGTGGTACCGCACTGGGCGCTATAACGAGCAAAGCCTCGCCAGATAAGAAAAGTCTTCCACATTAAACGTCATGTCCTTATTGTAAACGTGCCTTTCACTTTCCCATCTCGGCCTGGAAATCAGATGTTTAGTGGGTACTAGCGTCACTTCCTAGAAACACGTTCCAGATGCTTAACACTAAGGCCTGCATCACATATACTTGGTGCATTCCTGCTTATTTTTGCTGTGTTTCGCTGAGATAAGCTCTTCTTCAAACCATCATCGCACCCCGACTCAAGAGCGGCTTTATTCTCAATCTACTATGAACCAACCAAGCTCAATTAAACACACTGCTTACGCCCAACAGGGCAAGAACACCCGCGACCCGTGAACTTATGCTAACGGGTTTACAGTCGTCCGCAATCTTTAATTGAAACTATCCTCAGTGTAACCTGTACTGTTCTTAATGATGCCAGCAGTGAAGCACTAGAGGCTGTTGTTGAGATAATGCTTCGGTATGATTGGATAGAATGTCGGCAAGCACAGGTAACACCTCGGGCCACAGAACCTAGAGCTATGCGGTGCTAGCGTCAGTCAAACCGTCTGAGGACACGCTACGGAGCGTTTGAGTCAAGCTTGCGGACTACTTAACGTAACGCACTTCACTCACTATTATCACTGCACTGTTGCACTCATGGCACTTGAACACATGAGGAGGAAACGAGAACAACATAGGTGGTGTCAGCTGGAAAAGCGGTCATAAAACAAGTGCGCTAATGTGCGGCTGATATGTTGAAGCGGCTGCTGCCTAAAAAAAAAACATCACATGGAAAGGAAATGTAATGAAGGACGTATGCTGTCAACGGCAACTAATATTGATATATTTTTGCTGATTACAAGGTAGAATTGTTCACAAAACAAAACTTGCAGTTTCGTAATACGTAAATCTTATCGCAAGGAACAAAAACATTACATAAACAAACTACGTAACTAACACGCAGTGCCCTGCAGTGCTTGACTATCGTGTAAGAACTAAAATTGTCCCGAGACACGTTGCCACCGTGCAGCAGTTTCTACGAGACCGCTAGGCAGTCCTTCCTGTTGGTGTAATTCGCCATAAAGTCTTGCAGCTTGCGCAGCATCACCAGCCGGTTGTAGCGGCCGTTGTACTTGATCATGTCGCAGGCTTTATATTTCTCGTCGGCGTCGATGTCGTAGACGGCCAGGCCAAACCGTATGTCCTTGACCTTTTCCTTGTAGGCGCACATCTGCGTCAGCGGTGTGTAGGAAATAGGAAACCCCTCAACAGGGTCATTCGAGGGGAAAAAAGGGATTTCTCGGGCTTCATCAAGCCATTACACAGTCATTTTAAATTAAAATCAAACGATTTGTGTGTCTACGTATCAGTAATGTGAGAAGTCAAGAAACAGCAAAGGTAGACAACTTCCTCTTCTCCTCACTCCGACTCCCTCTTACCACTCCTTTACAATAACGTACCAGATAAGGCTAAGATGTTCTTCACCCTCTCATCTCCTCTTTTCTTCCTCCTCACTCTCACTAACAGCTCCCTTTCTTGCAATAGTGTGATATGCAAGGCAACGTTATTATTTATGCTTTCCAGTCCTCCTCTCCCTTGTCACTTTGGTCGAAGATCGGCTGATCACGGAGGCATGCATAGTAAGCTCAGGCGCAGAATAATAATAACTGTGATCTTACGTGCCAAAATGGCGATATAGCTACGAGGGACACCGTAGTGAAGGGCTTCGAAAACATCGATCCTCTGGGGTCCCTCCACGGGAGCTAACGTCGCACCATATACGCGAGCCTCTATAGCATTTTGCCTGTATTAAAATATGACCAAGCTGTAAACTCGACCACCACGACTGGGATCGAACCCATGACATACAAGTCAGCACCAATATATAGGTGCAGACAGCTTGCAGTGCCTAAAATCCATGGGGTAGTCGCACAACCAAGATTTGTTAGTTCCGTTTATAATAAGCAAATTTGGGTTTTCTTCACCGAGTTGCTTGTAGATTTTTGCAGTTGGATGCGTAGCAGTCTTTGCTTGAGTGTGTTCATTCCAAGGCGACCGTCCGCTCTCCCACTGCGCATGCACGAACTCCCTTTCCTCTTCTCGCATGCGCGCGAAGAGGTGGGAGGGTGTTGGGTGTAGGAGTTGACAAAGCGCTGCCTCCGCTTTGTTCCTCCTCTTCCATTTATTTTCCCCACAGCTGGGCACTCATATATAATGCTGCGTGCGCTCGTTCCTTTACACTCCCTTTTGCAACGGTGCTATGGACGTCAATGTTCATGCCAGGTGTAGCGGCGTTGGTACCAACATACACGCAAGCATACAAATGATAAAAACCAAATGGAACCTCAAGTCAGCACCATCGCTGCTTCGCGTTCTCACATGTACCTTTAGTGGTAGATGTACGGTGTAACTTATATAGACCTAACTGAATTATTTCCCTAATACAGCTATTGTAGTGATCACCCATTCACCAAAGAGCTTTTTCCATTCACTAATAACGTGGTTGTCAATAGTTGAGTGTATAGGCGCGCCGAGTAACCCATCAAAGGGGCTGGAGGTTCATCGCAGCACCCCCCTCCTACAAGTAAATGGATGGGGCAGATCTAGTGCCCCACCCCCTTTCTGGATGACACGAGAAGGGGGCGTGCAACCACCCCTCTGACACCCTCCCCGTGCACAAGCTTGTGGTTGACTGGTGAAGTCTAGCAGACGGACATCAACAGGTAACGAAAATTGGCACTGGAAAACGTGCCTTCAACCGAGTGGAGACTAACCTGCATGGAGTCAAAGTTAAAAAGCAGCTGTTTACTGTCATTAAAAACGTGCTGTACAAAGCAATTAGGTGGTTGTCTAAGCTCCGTCTTGTATTTCAGTAACATTATTTTATCACCATTCAACGTATTTAATAACATCAAAAATTATTGTATCAGCTTCTTTTTGGCGTTCTTTCGTAATGAGTATTCGCTTGTTTGCCTGATATCATTTGACAACACTGCAACCAGGTCAAGTAAGAATGTCTCGGAAAGTGGGGAGGGTATTTCACATGTTATTGCGAAATAAAACGATGATGTTTTTTTTTTTTTTGACAGTAGTCGTTCTTGGGGACCTCCGACGCCAAAACATTGGTCTGTCTGTCTGTTTATTTGGCTGTTTTTTCGCCCTTAATGTACCCTAAACAGTACCAAAGTGGCCAGAGGATGCTCAAAATGGCCGACGCCATCCGCAGTGCCCACCAATATTGCTCAATATTCAGCGTTCATACTTGTGTGTTTGTCAATTAAAAAGCAATTATTGAGCATATCTGAGGCACTTTAACAACACGTCAACATTCCGTATGTTGGTCTCTTACTAGAAAAAGCATACACAACTAATTATAAGGACCTCCGCGTTCATCACGTTGCGCTGACCAGGCAACGCTTGCACGAAAAGGCAAGTGTTTCCAACGCTTTGCTAAGACGACACGGTGGAGGTGCCTGCCCATTGCTTTGCGTTCTACACCTTATCACTTCCGAGATGGGCGCGCAGGGTGCGCGCGCTTTGTTTTCCAAGGTAACTGCGAGATAGCGCTCATGTCTCACGTGTGACGTGACTCGATGCGCTCGTTCGCCTCGCTGCACGCTCGAGGCTCTCCAACACAGCGCCTCCAAAATACCAATCACCAATTTTCTTGCACAAAACATGAAATAAACGTTTTGTTCACTATCTCTAGACGCAAGACTATTTTCGATGACATTTGCAGTGTAGCATGCAGATATGGGGCCAATTTTTGTCTTCAAGTCGTCTTAAGAGATTGCATATAATATCTTGTGAGTTCTTGGCAATCATTCACTTAGCGCGTTGCTGCAGCCATTAGGGTTGAATCAATGCATGCAGTAGTCATGGATTGAAACAGGACGATTAAGGGTTATGTAACGCACGCCCTCTCATTGCTACCACCTTCATTTCTGATCATATCTGCGTAGTTTTCAGTCGCATGCTTAGTTCAGAGCCAACATCATCTTTAGAGCGGATAGACGTCGTGACGGGATGTAGTTACCTGAGCCTCGCCGCGGTGGTCTAGTGGCTACGATACTCGGCTGCTGACCCGCAGGTCACGGGCTCAAATCCCGGCTGCGGCGGTTGCATTTCCGATGGAGGCGGAAATGTCGTAGGCCCGTGTGCTCAGATTTGGGTGCACGATAAATAACCCCAGGTGGTCAAAATTTTCAGAGCCCTCCTCTACGGCGTCTCTCATAATCATATGAGATTATGTTCATGTTGACTTATTATGTTCTAGTGAAATTGCAACTTTTGGATCGGCTGTCTCTGCTGCCCCAGCGAGGTACGGCCTAGTAATGGGGTTTAAGTCCTCCTTTCGCCTTACCTGGCGGGCAAACCCTGTATGTGTTATGCCCAATATATATATATATATATATATATATATATATATATATATATATATATATATATATATATATATATATATATATATATATATATATATATATATATATATATATTGACTTTGGGACGTTAAACCC